GTGTTTGTTTGTTAGAGTCATTGTGTTGGTGTTTTGTTTGTATTTTGTATTCTGTAATGGAATACATTTTAAAAGTAACCTTCCCAACACTGTGTATGAGTAGCAGTCACTCCTTATCATGCTATGCAACACAACAGTGACACTAAGTACTCCAGTACCTCTGCTGTATCTGAAGCGGACTTTGGCCTTGATTTCCTCTTTCTGAGGGGGGATGCTTACAGGGCCCTTCCCATCTCTGGTACTGGATAGTGAGGTTCGTGCTCCTTGCCCCTCCTTCTCCTCTTCCCCAGAGGAATCACTATATTGGATCATCTTGCCTTGCTGAGGCTCTGCCTACAAGGGATGAGGAAATGTTGCCTATAGCTTTGCATCTACTATCACAGTCAGTGTTGTAGAGCCAATATTAGCTATTTGTCAGTTTATTGATATCACAGTTTATAACAGCCAATAAATGAAGATTAAAAAAGTAAGGAACACATAGGAGAAACATCTTTCAACTATGTTATATTGTTTTAGTAAGGACTCATTAATAACTGCACATAAGAAATGTTAGGGAAATCTATCTGACAGAAACAATATCTGAATAAAGCATGCAGAATGACCTGCTGTGCAGTCAGCGCCGTCAGCTGTGCTGCAGTTTTTGACTGTTCTGACAGTCTTTTTATCTCTGAGGCATACGCTGCCATCTCCTTCTCCAAACGAAGGTGGCGCTGCAGAAGCAATGCTGTGCTGGAATCGTCCTTCCCATGATCCTCGCTTATCAGCAGTGGCTTCCTGTCACCTAGCCAGGAGTTAGCCTCCTGCACATCTGCAAAATACTGGTCAGAGAAATAAAGGTTACTGTCTTAGAGCATGTATATAGAGATCAAGAGCAGGTTCCAAAAGACCACACAAGAAAATAAAACATAACATTTGTGACAGGATGGTTAGAACCTACACGATAACAGCAGCACACAGGTAAAAATATGACTGCAAAATAATTAGACTAACTGTAAAAAAAACATAATTACCTCAAAATGTGTTTGTTGAGAGCAGAGATAGGAGTTTACAGACAAAAAGAAGCTACACTAAACAAAAACAGCTTTTTTTCAATCTTCTCTTCTTCTTCTCTGCCTTTAATAACACATTATTCACTAGTGATGGGATTTCTGGCTCTTTTTAGAGAACCGGCTCTTTCGGCTCCGAACCGGCTCTTCATGTTGTTTTGTTGCTTTAATTAATTTATTATTAACAATAATATGAAATTATGCACAAAAGGAATTACTAATGTAAAAAAAAAGTGGTTTTATTTATATATGTTTATATATAAATATATACAGTGGCCCACTGTAAGCACTACAAACTCCAAAATACATTTCTAGCATGAACTGAACTTCAAAACAGAGCTACTAGATCACTTAAATTACACGATTGAAAGCATGTGTGTATTGTTTGTGTATTTATACACAAGCACTCATATATATTCAAATAATTTAAAAAAATGTTCATTTACCTGTTACTACCACACACCAAATCCAGTCGTTGGTACTTGCTGGCTTGTGTAGCCACCAGGTAACAAAAGCTCAACACTGCCCCTAACATCCTGGAGCACTTCTGTTGTGTTTTGTACGTGTTTTGGAGTTTTTACGTGTTTTGAAGTTTGTACGTGCTTTGTCTCGAGGGGCCATCGTAAATATACTTTTATTTATTCACTCCACATAAAATGTAATAAATAAATCATATAATACAAAAACCAACTATTTACATTTCAACTTTTAACTATTTAAATTTTCAGCTTTTTCCTTTTAAACAAATTTAAAGTGAGACAACACAAAGACTGCAAACCACAACACAATTAAATATAAATTAAAATATGGAAACAAAAAGAAGATGCATATTCTCTGTCATATGGACCTGCATGAATAAACTTTCTGAATCCTGAAAATAGTTGTGGATGATTACTATACCTTTCTAATGTGACGTTGTTGTCCCTGGCTCTCTCTCTCTCTCCCTCCCGCTCTGTTCCTGTGCTACTGAGAGTGTAACTACCGCCCCTCCCCCCTCTGCCCAGCGCAAAGCACAAGGCTCGTGTGCTGAGTGAAGCAGGAAAAAGTGCGAGAGAGAGGGTGAGAGAAAGAAAATAAACGCACGGCTTGCGATAAGGAGCCGTTCACGTCAAAGAGCCATTTCGTTCTGACCGACACATCACTATTATTCACCTGCTTTATGGTAGCGGCAGCCTGCAGTCTGTCGCGGTGTCCCGTCACCTCGTCAGTCAGGTGGCTCCACTGCTTCCTGAGAGTCCTGATCCACTTCTGAACAGCTTGCTGATTCTCCTGACTCTGTTTGGAGAGCAGATCCTGGCCTCGACCCAGGACACCTTTATACAAAGACTCCTGGGCCTGGACCTCCGCCTCCAGTACCTATCAAATTATGATTTATTTAAAGTGGCATTTAGAGTCAAGATAGATTTAAATTGCCTTTATTCTCAAGGTGGGGTCATGTTCAGCCTAAAAACAGTCAGATTAACCAGATTACATGACTTAAACCAGAATTTAAATGTTATTATTTGTTTGTTTTGTTTAGATGCACTTCTGTTCTTTGCATTGCTGTTTCTTGTTTATGTTATTTTCATTTCATTTAAAACTTGGCAAATATTGTTTCGTGGTCTTGGGCTTTGGACTTTTTTCAGCTTGTGTATTTTTGAATTCTTAAGTCTTCGTTTGATTGGTTATTCCTGTTGACTTAATCCTTTGTTTCAGTTATTTCGGTTTGCTTTACATTATTCCTTTAGGAGTGTTTGTTTGTTAGAGTCATTGTGTTGGTGTTTTGTTGCTTCCCGTTTTATTTTTATAGTCTTTTGTCACTTGTGCTTTGTTTTATTCCTACTTCCCTTGTCTCAAGATTAGTTTCAATTGTCTTCATCACATGACGAACATTTACCTCATTACCTCTTGTATTGTCTCTATCGCCCTTGATGCCAAGTGTCCCTGGATGTTTTGGATTTCCTGCTTTTTGTATTCAGCTTCTGGATTTTGGCTTGGTTTACTCTCTGGTTATCACCATTAAAGCTTGCTTAGAGTTTAGTCACTGTCTCCTGCATCCTGGTTTTAGGTCCATAATCCCTCAACAATCCACACAGCATGCAACCTATTGTAGGTCCAACTTTATATCGTCAGGGCCGTGAGTCGGAGCTCAGGATTTATGTTTTCTTCTTTTTAAGATTATGTTTTATACAATATTCTACATTCTTGTGGTTAATATTATTCATGGTTCTGTGCTTGGCCTCCCCTGTGTCCTTGTTGCTTGTGTAGTCTATCATGTCTCTCGCGCATGTTAAATTTTCTCTCCGTGTTGATTCATCTGTCTCCCTTTCATGACCCTTGCTCCCCCGTTCCCTGTGTTTACGTCTTAATGTGTGTCTCTTGTTTCCTGTGTTATTTTGATAGTCCTTTGTCCTGTATTCGGTGTATTTAGTTTTGCTTCCTCCCTGTCTTCTCAGGTTTGATTAGTCCTAGCTGTGTTCCCGCCTGTTTCCATCCCCTTGTTATCCTTCATCTGTATTTAAGTGTTTAGTCTCACTCTGTTCATTGTCGTGTTCTCCATGTAAGCTGTGTTCTGGTGTTAGTTCCATGTTGTC